GTCCAGGAACTCCCTACCTACGTCCGTGACACCACCCACGCCCTCCACCTCCTCCAGAACTTCCAATTACCCGGTCCCCGACACCACATCTTTACCATGGACGTCCAGTCCCAATACACCTGCATTCCCCATACAGATGGCCTAAAGGCCCTCCGCTTCTTCCTGTCCCGCAGGCCCGACCAATCCCCCTCCACTGACACCCTCATCCGCTTAGCCGAACTTGTCCTCACACTCAACAACTTCTCTTTCAATTCCTCCCACTTCCTACAGACAAAGGGGGTGGCCACGGGTACCCGCATGGGCCCAAGCTATGCCTGCCTCTTTGTAGGTTACGTGGAACAATCCCTCTTCCGTACCTACACTGGCCCTAAACCCCACCTCTTCCTCCGTTACATCGATGACTGTATCGGCGCCACCTCGTGCTCCCACGAGGAGCAGGAGCAGTTCATCCACTTCACCAACACCTTCCACCCCAACCTTAAGTTCACCTGGACCATCTCTAATACCTCTCTCTCCTTCCTGGACCTCTCTGTCTCCATCTCTGGCAAGCACCTAGAAACCGATATCCATTTCAAGCCCACCGACTCCCACAGCTACCTAGAATACACCTCCTCCCACCCACCTTCCTGCAAAAATGCCATCCCCTATTCCCAATTCCTTCGCCTCCACCGCATCTGCTCCCAGGATGAGGCATTCCACTCCCGTACATCCCAGATGTCCTCGTTTTTCAAGGACCTGCACATCTGCTAATGTGGTACACTGCATCCGCTGTTCCCGTCGTGGCCTCCTCTGTCGGGGAAACCAAGCGGAGGCTTGGGGACCGCTTTGCAGAACACCTCCGCTCTGTTCGCACTAAACAACTGCACGTCCCAGTCGCGAACCATTTCAATTCCCCCTCCCATTCCTCAAACGACATGTCCATCCTGGGCCTCCTGCAGTGCCACAACGATGCCACCCGAAGGTTGCAGGAACAGCAACTCATATTCTGCTTTGGGAACCCTGCAGCCCAATCGTATCAATGTGGATTTCACAAGCTTCAAAATCTCTTCTCCCGCTACCACATCCCAAAACCAGCCCAGCCTGTCCCCGCCTCCCTAACCTGTCCTTCCTCCCACCTGAAGCCCCACCCCCATCTCCTACCTACTAACCTCATCCTGCCCCCTTGACCTGTCCGTCCTCCCTGGACTGACCTATCTCCTCCCTACCTCCCCACCTACACTCACCTTTACTGGCTCCATCCCTGTCTCTTTGACCTGTCTGTCTTCTCTCCACCTATCTTCTCCTCTATCCATCTTCTAACCGCCTCCCCCTCTCTCCCTATTTATTTCAGAACCCCCTTCCCCTCCCCCATTTCTGAAGAAGGGTCGAGGCCCGAAACGTCAGCCTTCCTGCTCCTATGATGCTGCTTGGCCTGCTGTGTTCATCCAGCTGTACACCTTGTTATCTCGGATTCTCCAGCATCTGCAGTTCCTACTATCTCGGGTTCATTGAATTGTCCTCCAGCAAGACGTTGCGACTGGAGGAGAAGAGGAATTGGCGAAAGATCTGTCGCAATTGGAAACAGAAACAAAGTACTGGAGAAACTCAATAGATCTGCAGCATCTCTGGAGAGAGAGAGACAGAGTTACCATTTTCTGAGCAAGAGTCATTGTTCTCAAAGTGTTCACTCTGTTTCTGTCCCTACCGATGCTGCCAGACTGCTGAGTTTCTCCAACACTTTGTTTTTATTTCAGATCTCCAGCATTTGCAGTACTTTACTTTCATTACCTATTCAAAGGCTGTTGGCTTGCTTTCTTCCAAAGTAATGAACTGTTCGTTTTGCATTGTGGAACTGCCGAATTCTCTTTCTGTTGTTTTGTCTGGTTTTGTCCTTGTCCTGATTGTGTGTTGTGTTGTATCTTTTCTGCTGTGTTTTGTGAACAGGAAGTTGCAGTAAAAGAACAATTAAATACAAAGCGTAAATTGACCAGAAGGTGCATCAGCTCTCCAAATGTCAACCGGGTATGACTTCAGCAACTGTTTTCCCTTTGCCTGTGTGCGCGATGAGAATTGGAATGTGCTTTAAACCATGCTTTTAGGAGAATTAAGCTTTGCTTTGTCATTTTGATCTTGTTGTCTTAGTTAATAAACTGAGGAACATGATGGATTTTTGTGCAATTTAACTATCCCAATATTGATTTACAAATGTACGAACAAGGAATGAATAGACCACCCAGTCCTTGCAACCTGCTCTACTATTCAGTAAGCTTATAGCTGAACTGATTTTAACTTCAACTCTACATTTCTGCATGCTCAATAATCTTTTGCTGCCTCGGAATCAAGAATCTACCTCTGACTTAAAAATAAAGATTTTGGATCCAGTGCCTTTTGAAGGAGGGAATTCCAAAGACTTCGAACAGTCAGAATTTGTTTTCCTCATCTGTATTAAATGGACAACAACTTATTTTTAAGCTATGACCCCCTAGTTCTAAATTTCACTTGATCTTTAAATGTTAGGAGGAGGAAATATCTGATTGTCAAGCGTAGGTAAAGGTAGAATTGCATTATAGAGTTTTAGTTTTAAAAAAAATTAAAAATTTTGATAAGGTAAGAAGGGATTAATACTTGCATTGAATAAATAGAGGATTGAAAGTTACTTCTGTCTCAATCCTTTCGTGGGCCATGAGCATTGCTGGCAAAGACTGTAGTTGTTCCTGATGCTTGCAGTAGAAGTGGTGTACTTAGACCTCCAGTGCTGTTGGGAGGGAGTTCTGGTATTTTAACTAAGTGACAATAAAGGAAGGACAACATAGTTCCAAGTCAGGATGGTGTATGACTTAGAGATTGCGATGCTCCCATCTGTCTTCTGACATTGTCCATCTTAGGTGGTGGAATTAAGTGGATTGGCAAAGTACTTTTGAAGTATTCTTGCAGCAGTATGTCTTGCATATGTTGCACACTGCTGCCAATCAAAGGCGTTGCTTTGTCCTGGAAAGCATTGAGCTTCAGTAGTGTTGGAACAGCACTGTTTGGGTAAATGGAGAGTATTCTGTCACAATCCTGACCTGTGCCTTGTAAATGGTGGACAGACTTTGGGAAGTCAGCATTGAGTTACTTGCCACAGAGTTCTGGGCCTCTGGCCTGCTCTTACAGGCCCAGTAGTTTTATGGCTGGTCCAATTCAATTTATCATTAATGGTAACCCCCAGGATGTTGATTGGGAATTTTTCTACAATAATGTCATTGAGTGTCAAGGTTAGATTCTTTGTTGCTTGAGATGGCCATTGCCTGATACTTAAGTGGCAAGCATTATACCTACAAAGGGAATTCCGGGAGAGGCCAGGAGAAGTTATTTTCTTTATGCACCTGTAGACTGCACTGCTCAAGATTGGTAGAAGTTTACTTCTTATCATTTCCAAGGTAAGTGAATAAATTTAATGGGAAAGGGCAGTTTACTCAGACTAGAGAAAGGTATCTTTGAACATTTAGAGGTACAGAAGGAACCCGTACAGTATGACTCAATGACAGAAACATCATTTGTCAGTCATTGATCTGTTAATATAGATTAAGCAATGCAGCAAAATAATGGGTTTTCTCTAGTTAAGAGTGGTGTTCTCATCATACATTAGTGAAGATGACATGAAGTGTTACCACAAAGAATAATGAATTGGGAAATATTGCAGGGGAATGGTCAAGTCCTTGTTGTATGGTGATAACACAGTCATTAGAAATTGAGATGTTCTGGCTGCCATATTATTGCAAAACTATTCATTATTATCTACTGGAAATATATTGTGTGCTCATTACATTTGTGAATATAAATACTTGGTTGATTTTCTTTTACGGAGCATGAAGTTCTGTCCCTAACCACCTTCCTGCTATTTTAATAAACTCTTTGTTTGTTAAAAATGCTGCATAATACAAGTTAATCCCCTTGATTGTTCTCATCATCACAGTCTGAATTTGGATGTGCTAGAGCATGGCTAGTTATCCTGAGCTTGCATGCTCTGATCTATCATAGCATCTTTACTTGAGTGAAGTAAAACTATTAATGTATGCATCTTTTAAATTTTTTAATAAAGTTATCTGGAAGCCGTCATGACCTCAATGCAAGATCAAGCCTTGAACGCAACAAGGTAACTATACTCCTGTCATTAATATAAGGCAAATTAACAGTATTAAAGAGAAATAACTTCCCTGGATAACTAATGCTTAACATTGCCAGTTGATTCCTGTGTCAATGCTTGTTTGGTGACCTAACAATTCAAGTGATATGATTCTGGTTAAATTTCCCCCAGTACATGCTCCTACTAATCAACCTTTAAGCACCTAGTGATGCAAGATTTTAGAGGCATGCAATTGATATCATCATTTTATAAACCCGTTTGTGGTCCCCTTGGTGTCTTCTAAGAACAAAGTGAATAGACTGATTAGTATTATCATTAATGCACATTGTAAGAAAAGCATCAAACCTAAACAGCCAAATCCCCAATTGTGTAGTATTAGTGATATCCCCATGGGCACTGGCCCCTACTGAAGTCCACCTCTGTTATTGCACTGGTAATCATCATGGGCAGCATGATGGCTCAGTGGTTAGCACTGCTGCCTGACAGCAGGGGACCTGGGTTTGATTCTGCCCTTGGATGACTATCTGTTTGCAGTTTGCACATTCTCCCCGAGTTAGCGGGTTTTCTCTGGGTGCTCCAGTCTCTTCCCACAGTCCAAAGATGTGCGAGTTAGGTGGATTGGCCGTGCTAAATTGTCTATAGCGTCCACGGGTTTGCAAATGAGGTGGATTAGCCATGGGAAATGTAGGGATAGTGATGCTGTTCGGAGGGTCGATGTGGGCTCGATGGGCTGAATGGCCCACACTTTAGGAACTCTCTGATTCTATTCTATCATTCTGAGAGATCATTATTTACCTGCTGGATGCAGTTTAGGTAACCAAAGTGGGCTGCTGACTTGAAAAATGAACTTGATATTTGTTTTTCTAAGTTTAAATTCCAAATAACTTTGTAATTTTTACTTTGGGAGAGAATTAAGAATTAATTAGTGAGAAGAACTTTGCCTGGCGTTCACCCCTATCTGCATTCTTTGTATTTATATCTCCAGATTTGATGGTCAAAGAACCTGTAAAATATTGAAAAATGTTTATCTCTAAAGGGCTAGTAGGAACTGCCAACGCTGGAGAATCTGAGATAACAAGGTGTAGAGCTGGATGATCACAGCAGGCCAAGCAGCTTCAGAAAATTTCTGAAGAAGGGTCTCGACCCAAAACGTCAGCTTTCCTGCTCCTCTGATGCTGCTTGGCCTGCTGTGTTCATCCAGCTCTACACCTTGTTATCAATAAAGGGCCATTCTTTTGAACTGAAATTAAAATCAATTGAAATTAGTCAAAAATATTATCATTTTCTTTTTGCACCTAATTAAGATGTTGCAGTGTTTTGCTTAACTTGCAATGTTTTTGGTAAAGTATGCAGACATTGAGACCCATATTGGCCTAAGCGATAACCCAGAATTGCAGTGCTAGAACTTAATTATATGCTTTTAGTTTAGGGCTGATATCCTAATTAAAGGCAAGTATGAAACTGTTTCATGTCTCTCTCTTCTTTCCACCCAAACAAACATAAGCAAATGCATGTGTAAGTAGGGAGTGGAGTTGACGAATTGACCTTTTGCATCTTGCAGGCGTGAGTTATGGAACTTTCCTCCTAATTTTGTATGTGGTGTTCAGAGACTTCAATGAGAGAAAAAAAAACTGATGTAGTTTTAAAAGAACTTTCAGTGCCCATAATCTCAAGTGCAGCTATCACAAAGACTTAAGTTAAACTGGATTTCTTCCTTTTTTTCCCTCCCCTGCTCCTGGGCAGAGTCGATGGGAGAGTCAGCAGGACATTTCGACAGCTGCACTGCAGTCAAACAAGAAGACTCCTCCGTACCATTCCCCGGTGTCCAGGCGTTCTATGCCACAAGCTGCAGGTGAGAAGTAGTACAAGGATATATAAAATCATGAGGGACATAGACAGGGTAGGCCAAAAGAAACCTCCCTCCTCTTGGAGGGATTATGGCCACGGGGCATAAGACCTCAGGTTAGGGGCAGGTCATTCAGAAGGAATGTGAGGAAAATGTTTTTCACCCAGTGGGTGGTGGGAACCTGGAACTCATTGCATGTAAGGATGGTAGAAGTAGAAATCCTCATAACATTTAAGCGTTTAGTTGTACACTTGCAGTGCCAAGGCATACAAGGCTATTGGGCAAGTGCTAGAAAATGAGATTAAAATAGTTAGGTGGGCTTTTGACTGGTGCAGATTCGATAGCCTGACGGGCTTTTTCCTGTGCTGTAGACCTCCATGACATGGGATAGTTTTCTCTTTATAAGGAGAGTGTGCAAGAAAATTTGAAAACAGAAGTCTGACTTAGAGGGATATTAAAATCACAGTGTTCCAGATGCCAGTGTTACTGTTTCATACTTTTAAAGGGCATACTTTTTTTTGGAACTTGAATTCTTGAAGAAAAGATCATTGATGTTAGCTTGCAAGTTTGACCTGACCTTTGAGAGAATGCATTCCCTCTGAGATATTTAATCTCAATCCCAAAACCTTACTGTTCGACAGAACCTGTAGTTTTCAAAAGTGGGGATACCTACTTTCGAACCGAGACCACTTGTTAGTTTAGTAATGCACTTTTGATCAGCAGACATTTAAATAATTAGAAGCAGAAAGTGACTTCCTTGATCTATCTGTGGCTGCTTTCAGTACGTCTTAAATTTTTATAGCATTTGTTCTTGTAGAAAGCTGGTAGCTCGTTGAGGAGATTTTAAATAATCTGCTCGTGTGGTTTTTAACTGAATATTATTTGAGCAAAATGGATTGAAAATTCCAGAAAGACTTGATGAATAATGAATCAATTTCACTTTAATTTCTGTAATCTGCCTAATACTTCAACTGTAGTAGGGCTTTATTGTATTAAATGCATCTATAATCTTTTAAAAGACTATCGTTCTCCAGAAAAATGTCCAGCTGCTGCTCGAGTCTTGTAAATTCTTTGCTTCCTATCACTTAATTTATATTAGCTAAAAATGCACAGTTCACTTCAAACCGCCACCGTGCACAATATGCAGTGCTCTGGAGATTCCAAGCACTTTTTTTGTTTGATCAACAGTATGCTGTCGGTAGATAACTAACAAAATAATTTTTACAGTATGCTTTTTCAGGGTTTGTTCATTTTTTTCTTAATGTAACTTTTTTGAGAAGCATTAAGCCAGATAAGATCAACCGAAGGGTTAAAAAATGAAGTATGACTCTTATTCTCGTATGAGTGTAGAAATGATGCAGATTGGGAGCCATGTACTTTAGACACCCTGCCTGGGCTGATCTAAGTTGGGACTTCATGGGTTGCATTTGGGAAATATGACTTGGAGAAAAAGTGCAGTCTGCAGTATAGACAAAACACAATTCAAAAATCAATTGACTGTGAAATTTCAGTAGTTCAGATGATAGAAATATTAACAACCGTAGCGTCATCTAATGACTTTCTAACAGGTCCAACTCATTTTTATTTCCCTCTCTCCAACTTCTATCTCTGTTAGTGTGGTTTCCAGTGTTTACAGTCGTTTACAGTGTTGCCTGCTAAAGCTTATTAAACTGCTTGTTGGAAATTCTTTACTCAATGATGAAAACAGCTACAAATGATAATGACTGTCCAGTAGCACAACTCCGCTATCTCTTTACAGCTCTTCCACTAGCAAAATCTAATTATGATACAAAGGGTTCACATTTTCAGTATAAAAAATTGATTGCATTACAGTAGTTTTCTACTAAATGAAACTGCTACCAATTCTAAAAAGGATTCCTGTGATTTAACTAATAATTCATCGTTTTTTCCCCCATTTGCGCTGCCTGTCTTTCTATGATGGATAATGGTAAGAAATTCTAACAACAGGTGCCATTTTTAATTTCCATCTAAATTTGCTTTCATTCCAGTGTCAGGGCAAACATTAGTGCATGTTGTTGTTGGACTTGTAACACTGTGTCTGTGTTGTTCTTAATCCCTCTTCCACACTTCCTTCTCATTGATTCACTCACTATAAAGTGTGTTGTTATATTTAATGAAATGTGAGATCTGCTAAAATAACAGAAACTCGAATCAGTTTCAGTGTATGAATTAGAAGGGCCATTCCATTGTGCATGTATTCCCCAAAGGCGGCATCAAGTTTGCTGACCTGTTTGGAAGAAGGTGATTAGTTGTGTGACCCAGAGCCTCAAGTTTTCGAGCACCAAGATGAATTTGGAAATCTGAACAATGGCTCACAATCAGAATGGTTCCCAGTAGATATTTCAGGAAATGTAAATGGATGCATGTATTCCTTTGCTATGCCATGTAGGTTATGGTCACTCTGCAATGTATTAGTGAAATGTGGGCTAATGCATGAAAATGGTAACGATAAAGTCATAATGCCACTTGTTTTACAAAATTATCTTTACTGATGGCACAAATATTCTCCAAAGCTCTGACAAAGTGAGCAGCATTGCTGAATTACTTTGCAATTCCTTGAATGTGAACTGAGAGATGGGTGTTGTAATGTTATTAAATTGGTATGCTTATTCTCTGGGACTGTAGATTCAAATCCCACATGGCAACCAATGGAATTTAAATTCAATTGATTAAAACATATCAATTAATTTTAAAAGTTTATAAAATTATAATTGAATGCTAGAAATGGGTGACTGAGGCTATGATTGTAATGAAAACCTATCGTTCTTGCCAGATTTGGCAATTCTGACTTTATTTTTATTCATACAGTGAAGAACTTTGGGTGTCCTTTGCAAACCCAAGATTTGTTTCCTATCCCTAATTGCCTTAAACCAAATTGCTTGCTTGGCTGTTTAAGAGCTGCTGCCTTAGCCCATTATAGTCCTTGTGGCTAAGCATGCCCAAGGTCCTTGTGGCTCGGTGTGCCCAGGGTCCTATCAGGAAGAGAGTTCTAGCATTTTGACCCAGTGAAGGAATGGTGATATGGTTCCAAGACAGGATAGTGTGTGGTTTGGAGGGGAACTTGTACTTGCAATGGAAACCTTGTGGATTTGAACTCATGGAAATAAAACTTGGGTCTTGTGTCAGTGCTTTTGCCAAGGAAGAGGGAGAAGTTGAGATGTTCAGGGAAAAGTAAATGATCAACTTGTGGTTGCACCTAATGATGAATAAAGAGTGGAGTGTGCAGTTTGTGGAGAAAACTCTGCGTTTTCTCTTTCCTCTTGTACAGCAATAAGGGGCAGTGCAAAATAGCAAGGTAAAAAATATAGTACAGTGATAAAATTCATTTTCAGATATCTGCATCATTGTCTACCATCTCTTATCAGTCTCCTTTTCAACACTAGCCGCCTCTTACTTGAATCCAGTGAAGGCCTTTGTACCTCAAATGCCCAAACTTCTCAAATCACTTTTCCCTGTACGGGATGAAGAAAAGAGAAGATCTGTCCCTGCACCAAATCAACAGGTGAGGACTCGTAACTTGTTTTCAGAAAATGTCATTAAACAGTTAAATATATTTGGATGGCAGTGAAGACACGAAAGATGCTGTGAAACACTTTTAGTTTTAATTAAAATCAAAGAACCGCAGATGCAAGAAATGAGAAACAAAAAAAGAAGTCGTGGAAAATTTCAGCAGATCTGGCAAAATCTTTGCCGAGAGAAAGCACTTTTACCATTTCAGGTCCAGTTTGAATCATAGAATTCCTACAGTGCGGAAAGAGACCATTTGACTCATTGAGTCTGTATTGACCCTCCAAAGATCAGCTCACCCAGACTCAGCCCCTGCCTGCACATACCTGAACGCTATGGGGCTATTTTAGCATGGCTCATCCACGTAACTTGCACACCATTGGACTATGGGAAGAAGCTGGAGCACCCTTTTTTGTTTTTGCTCCTTTTCATTTAGTCTTGCCTCAGTATATTTAGATGTAGGGATACAGTGAAAAATTTAAGTCATGATAGCTCTCGGAAACATGGGCAGGATGATTGGCTAGTTAGTTGGTTACAGTTGAAACAGGCCAAAGTGGCAGTGTGGCAAATTGAGAGGGGAGCAAGGAAGATTTCAACAATGTTAAATATAGTGACCTTAATTGTCAAGAAGCAAGCGGGCAATCATGGGAACATCACCATAAATTTGGCAGTTCATACACTATTTCAATAAAGCTGGCCATGTGTGCTTTACAGAATCTTCAATGCTGACCTGGTGTTTAATTGGTGTAAAAAATGTATCCTGTATGTGAAAGAATTATGAAAGCAAGAAACTTTAAGGGCACCTTTTTAATACTTCATTAAAATGTTACCAGGCCTTTATATATTCAATGACAGTCTCTATGAACTGGCTTTTCAATATGATCTGCCAGAATGTTCCTGAGATAAGTGAAGGACACTTTTCAACTGCAAGGAGGCATCAATATGTATGCCATAACACAGGAATATGTACTCAGTTTGTAGCACTAGTATAATCCGACAGCACGCCATTCAATACAAAGTGTGCTGCAGTCATGAGCAGAATGTTAAATCTTTTGGGAAGGCACACATCATCACTGCAACATGACAGGATTACAGAATTGTTAATGGCCCAGAGGAAGCTATTCAGCCTGTTGTGTCTGAACCAGCTGTCTGAGCATTTTGAATGAGTGCCATTCTCCTTGTTCCCTGTAGTCTGGCATACTCTTTCTATTTAAATAATCATCTGATGCCCTCTTAAGTTCCTCAGTTGAACCTACCTGTATCACAGTACTAAGTCGTGCATTCAATCATCCAAATAGTGTGGAAAAGGTTTCTTCCTACCTTGCATTAGTTTCTTTTGCAAAACACTTTTAAAACTATGTTCTCAAGTTCCTCAAGCCCCACCCCCATCTCCTACCTACCAGCCTCATCCCGCCCCCTTCACCTGTCTGTCCTCCCTGGACTGACCTGTCCCCATCCTAACTCCGCACCTACACTCACCTTTACTGGTTCCATCCCCGCCTCTTTGACCTTTCTGTCTCCTCTCCACCTATCTGCTCCTTTATCTATCTTCCATCCGCCTCCACCCCTCTCTCTCTATTTCAGAACCCCCTCCCCCTCCCCCTCCCCTATTTCTGAAGAAGGGTCCAGACCCAAAACGTCAGCTTTCCTGTTCCTCTGATGCTGCTTGGCCTGCTGTGTTCATCTAGCTCTACACCGTGTTATCTCTCTCCTCCAGTTTGTGATCCTTTTATGAGCAATAGGATAGCAGTTGAAATGGAAAGGGATTATAGAAGTGACTTGTACTGTTGTTGGACTCAGTGCAGGTTGGCTCACTCATTTGGTTGGTTTCAGTAACTTCTTGCAATTTGTTCTAGTTATGATGACATCATTATTTTAAACAATGTTTGACTAAAAAATGTAAAAGTGCCATTACATATATGCGGTGCCTTTTCCAACCTCGGGACATCTCAAAGTGCTTTACATTCAATTAAGTACTTTATTTGAAATGTCACTGATATTTTTGTGGACCAGGACTGACCCTGAAGTATAATAATAGGTTTGAGCCAGAGCTTCTGCAGGCCCTTGCATAGGGTGCAAAAGAAGGAGGCGATGGCAATCAGAGGGATATTCAGAAACAAGCTGTGATCGGATCTGCCCTTGGTTAAGATGCAGTGGTCCTGGTTGCATAGAATGTGGTGAAATGTGAACCCAGAAGTATTAAAAACAAAACTTTTGTTAAATGTTCATAGGTTACTGAATGATACAGTAATTTAAGCTGGGTCATTGACAGTCTGGGGAGTGTTGAGCTTAAGCCTTATTTGAATATGTAGTGCATAGTAACTGATCAGTATTTCTTATCTGTAGTCTGTTCCTCGAATTGTGGTGCAGTCAGCTAAACTTGAAGATACTGTTGAACAGAATAAAGTCGTAAGTATAATCTCCAGTTTCAAGAAGCTAAGTATTAGAATTCATACCTGTCTGGTTAGGTATCTCACAGCACATTTACTGCAGAAAAATCAAAATTATTTCCAAAGGTCCCGTGTGTGTGCAATTGTGCATTCAGCAGCTTAAGTATTTACAGTACTGCCATCTGGGGAGTGCTTTAAAAGGTTTAAAGTAAAAGGTGGACAGCATATTCAGTTGGAAGGAGAGTGGTGAAGAAATTTTTAAAGAATATTTTTAAAGATTGTGGAAGAGATAATAAAGTCAAATGGATGCTGAAGAGAGTTTTCCCCAGTGATGGAATGGAGTGATACGAGATGATTCAGAATGGTGAGGACTGAGAGTAGCAGCTGCGATGCAGACTTGAGGAAAATGCTGTGCTGTAAGATAAAGGAAGGATTTAAAAGCATTTATTAAATCACTGTCTTTTCATTCAGTCTTTATTGACCTTGCATATGGACCTGGTTATAGATAATTGGCAGCTAAGTTTGCTGCATAAGAACATTTGACTGCACTTCAAACAAACATTTATTGTGAAGCACTTCTGGGATGTCCCAAGGTCTCAAAATAAGTTGCTACACAAATGCAGCTTAATTTCCGTTAAATATGAAAAATTAGTTTTCATCACATCCATGTTCAGTGATGTATAAGGTTTAATGCTTATTAGGTCAAAGATGGACTGAGAAATCTTTTCCTTTTCAAGATGTTTTTCTTTTCAGTTTTGCTCACCTCTCTTTAGCACCTCCCTTGGTACCTTCATTGTTTATCCACTGAGGTATCTTCCTCCTGCTAGGAGGATGATGAGGAACATATTTGAGATTGTTGCACGATTTCAGCATGACATGTATTTGATTTTGCAAAGTATGTGTTGTTTGGAATGGTTGCGGGATGGGGGTAATGAGGAGAAGGGGTAAAATGCGCTAACAAAATTTGCTTTGCCAAAATGTGGTGTTTCTATACATTTTCATCAGGCTCAACAAGAGAAAGCCCCTTCTGCTCCAGTGACCATGACAAAACCCACCCATCCCATAGTGATGGGCTCAGGCATTCCAAATGCTCCATCGAAGATGGAGTCTATGGATACAGCTGGCCATGAATCTCAAGGAGACCCTCAGAGTCCTTCAAGTGAAGCTTCAAGTGGGTATTTCTCCCACAGCATTTCTACAGCTACCCTTTCGGAAACAGCAATGGTGTCAAGTGGAGACATTGGCACACCTCCACTAAGTTGGGACACTTCTGCCCAGTTACAAAGTCAAAGGACATCGAGCAGTGAGGGTTCAGCCAAACTGAATGCCGATATGAAATCTGGTTCCTGCTTTGCTGGACATGTGGTTAATGGATCTCTGGACATGCAGCATCAAATCAATCAAGTAAAAAATGGTGCTCCGCAGATGTCCAGCAAAGGTCAATTCCAACTGCAATGCCCAAGCAAGGATATGGGAAAGGATTGTGGAAGAGTTCAGAATCGATCAGCAAATGCTGAGGTAACAGCAGAGCCTGCACATGAGACAGTGGTAGCAGAGGCCATGGAAATATCTGCATCAGTTGACACTAAAAACAGCTTCTCTAACTCTCAGACAACCAAAACACCAGTGGACAAAACAGTCGGCCCTGATGTGACCAACCAGAAAGTTGCCCTGCATTCCCTCCAAATTGATGAGCTGGAGGACTTGTTGCTGGCACAGAAGTCCACCTCAGCACTAACTGTCTCCAAGTCTGAGCCAAAATCCGATGCAACTCCGTCCATAACCTCGGCATCTAACCCTTTCAAAATACAAAAGGTGAGGACTTCCGAGTTGAAGTCATTCACGGGCATCTTGGGGGATGAAAATGCTTGGCAAGATTCTGAAGATATCCTTGAAGATAAAAAAGAGCAGTGGTCAACAGAGGAATGGGGGTCTGGGGTCTCCGGTCTGGCTGCAGGTTACATACCAGAGCCAAGTGACAATTTTGAGAGATCTGTGACTGCAGATACAAGATATGATGAAGATCTTGAGTTATCAAGTGAAAAACTTGAAATTATTTCAGATTCTGAGGAAGCTGTTGACATTGTTCCTGAGTGGCTAAAAGAAGGGGAATACGTCTCAATTGGTACAAACAAGACTGGTACAGTCAGGTATATAGGACCCACAGAATTTGCTGATGGAATTTGGATTGGAATTGAGCTGAGTGTACCGGCAGGTAAGAGACTGAGAAATCCCTTCAATTGATTTTTGATTTTATACTTAAAAGAATGTTGTTAATGGGTTGAAACGTAGCTTTACCTTTAAATTCAACCCTTTTCTCATTTACTTTATAGTTGGTTTCTTAAGACCTTGAGTTACAGCTTCCCACAGGAGTGGCAAGTTTGCTTTTCTTTTGTTCTTCTTTCTGATTTTGTTATTTTCATTTGTTTATTTGGTGTCCTTAATAATTAAATAAATAAATTTGCCTCAACTATGTCATAAAATGCTGTTTGAACTTTGTGCAACCAGGTAACAAACAGAGAAATATATTAATATGGTCACATTGAGCATGTGGGTCAACAGCATTTCTATAAAATTATTTTGTTGTATCTTATTTGCTGTAATTTTGCCTATCATTCAGTATGTAAAAATTTCATTTCTGCTCCAAGTTACACACCACAATGTAAGTTCATAAACGACTCTAGTTCTGTATGGCAAATGCAGTATTGACTGATGTTCTGTACTTCCAGCATGGATCATGCTAGCTTTGGGTGATGTGAAAGCTGAAATGGAAGTTAGACAGACTCACAGCACAGGAGGAGTTACTGTAGTTTATTATCTTTAAAATGTCCACTCCTTTGCCTTCACCTATGACCCTATGTCTTCCTTTTGCTTCAAATATTTATCCAATTCTCCCTGAGAATGCTCAGTGATCTCTGTCTCAGCCACTCTCTACAAACTGTCCCATTGTTCCAACATTTCTTTGCGTAAGGAAATTTGACCCATCATCTTTCTTTCCATGGGTGAAGATGAAAAGAGGGACCTGTTCATCTCAATGGTTTTGCAATTTTTGCACACTCTCTTGCTTTGAACCAACCATGAGATAAATCCAAAGAGCTGGGAGAGTGATTTGTTTTAATTCTTGAGATTAGCTCCATTGTGAGAAGTTCATCCCTTTTTTGTGGTGTTTTCTCCCTGGAGTTGAAATAAAAGGTCAGGTGTACTATGTTCCTTTCATCCTGTTCTGGAAGATTGTGGCTGTGACCTGTTTTGGACCAGTGCTGTCCTTGACCAATCATTTCATTGTGTAAGAGTACCTTGTGGAGAAAAGCTCCAAGGTATTTTGCTATTCTGAAGTCACGGTGGGGTTTAAAGATTCACCTCTCCCTCTTCACGTCATCTTTTAGACCATAAAACCATAAACAGGAGTAGGTCGTTGATTCCCTTGATTCTGTTTCATGATTCAAAAGGATCATGGCTGATCTGACGTTCCTCATGTCCACTTTCCTGCCTTTTCCCCATAACCCTTTAGTGAAGCCGTCTAATGGAGAAAGTTAAATCTTGCCTATCTCATCATTTCATGGGCCTAGTTCCTGGGTGTTAGCTTACTATCTGAATGTTTTCACAATTTGCTTTAAGTTTAAAGTTCTTAAAAACACTTTTGTTATGTTTCAGGAAAGAACGACGGTTCAGTTTGTGGAAAGCAGTATTTCCGATGTAATCCAGGCTACGGAGTGTTAGTCAGGCCAAACAGAGTTGCAAAAGCCACTGGTTCAGCGAAACGGCGCAGCACCGGCCTCCGGACACAGCTGGCTGCAAATTCAGAGAATCGGAGGAGCGGGAACTTTTCCAAGTCTAACCCAAACTTGTCAGCTCTCACTGCAATGGCCAAATCTGAAGGAGGAATGGGACTCCGATCAGGTGACAGGACTCCAAGAAAGAGTGAGTATAGGAAATCCTGGTCTGCTGAACAAAAACCTTCGTGAGAAATCAGCCAGTGCATGGTTATGTTTAGACCTAACTGGTAAGGCTTTGGAACTGGACATCCATGGCAAACTCCTTTTAACCTGAACCCAGTGGTGCCTTTCCTCAATAACCTCTGTCCCAAGGAGACCCATTCACTACCCTACCCTGGAACACTCTCACTTAATGTTCTTCTTTCTACCTGCCATGTTCACTTATCTTCCAGCTGTAACATCATTTCATTTTCTTGCTTCAATTTAGTCGATTGTCAAACCGTGCCTGAATGGCTTATGAATTACTGAATGTATGCTGTAAAAATATTTATGATTCACATAAGCTTTTGTATTGTCAAAGTTTGACTTCACATTTCTATTGTGCTGAGCTGCCTGCAGTCGTCCTCGTTGGGTGATGAAAGTGTCCATGCACCACCGCCACCTGCACCTGTGACATTGGTCACTGAATTGTTTTATTCCAGTACTTTGTTTTCGCCTTGAATCAGGTCTGATTTTAGTTCTGGGGGATTTTGAGCAGAGCAGAGGGTTTCAAAGTCTTTGCTGAGAGGTCTGTGCCAAGTTGAGGTTGTGGTCCCATTCCTTTCCTACTGTTAGGCCTCAACAGTTCGCTGATATGTGGGCCACAGGAAAAGGGTGGGAGAACACAGCAGTTCCGGGAAGGTGCAGTTTGCCACCAGCATGCTTCCACTGGTGGAAGCTCCTTCTATTGGGACCCGGGAATCTGTGTTTTTTAACCAGTAATGGTGGAAATTTAAGTTCTTTCCCTATGCAATGCAAAGCAATGTATTTTAACTGGTCTGCTGGGATTGTGAGAAATATTTTGAAGTATTCAGGGACTTAAATGAAGAGGGTTCCAAATAGTTGGGAAAGATGGGATTTTCAACCACTTGACTGTATTAAACCTCAGAATCATGTTTGTACATTTGGCAGTACCAATTAGAACAGCATTGTTGATCAATGAAACCAGATTTCTGAAAGTTCTGTTTCATCAGACCATTTCTACTGTGATGATTTTAAAAATGCATTACATGAACTATGCAGGTGTTGGTGTAATTAACTTTACAAGTTTTTTTGTAAAGCAGGGTAGTAATTCTATTGGGTCTTTTACAGGAACAGAAACTCCCTGATTTACTGAAAATTCTTAACAAATTTGTAATTGGCCACAATGTTGGGGCAGGCATTACCGCTGTAGAAGCAATGAAAGAACCTTAATTTTATGTAATCTAACATTTCAAAGTTTCTTGATGTATTCTCGATGATCAAATAATACTTTTGAATAAGCATTGCATTGGGTACACAATATTGAGAAGAAACCCAAAAAGAGGAGAGACTTGATTAATGGGTCAAGAATTGAAACATTGTCAGAACTGGAAGCGGATAAGTGAACATCTTTGTGGAACCGAAGAAAGGGAACGAGAACCAACCAGTCATAATTAAGCCAGGAAGTTCACCACCGTTTAATATCTACAACGGACATTGCACCATCTCTGGCTAGTGTTTTCTACCTGAAATTACAACTTGTTCCTAATTAGAATGCTGTTGTGCCTGCTGCGTCCGGTCAGTTCTGCTATAACGCGGGCTGCTTTAACCGATTGAAGAACTTAGACCGCGAACTTTCCTTACTTGTATTGGCTATAATGCGATTCCGGCTCCGTTGGTTTAAACAGCGCAGCTACTGCGCGATTTTTTTTTATAAAGCGAGATCGCACGAGGACGCAGCTATCACGTTATATCAGAACAGACTGTATTTCCAATTCATCTTGTCTTGTAATTTCATCAGTTGTTTTCTCGGTTGTGATGTTTAGGTTTACATCTTGAACTCTTGGGCAGCAGTTGCCCGATGTAGCAAACAGGTTCTCCAAATGTGGCATACTGATGGACAGCTCCTGCTTTACTGACCAGCAATCAGAATTCTTGGTATCTGCCATAGCTCTGAAATGTGCCTTGTTCTTTACCTGATTATTTTGGATTTGGGTTGCCAATGCATGAGCTCAACTGCAAAACAATCTTAAATGCTTAGGCTCCTTTAAGTTGATGGGGAGCAGGAACGTTGTCAGTAGGTCAGCAGCAAATACTGTCAATTTGAGCAAGGAGGAATAGTAAACCATTTTGCTTCATTTCTTCTTGATCATCATGGTGAATCTGGGTGCAAGTCTTACGAGATTTCGACAAGATAAGGTAGATAATGCACAGGCTATGAAATATGGATTGTGTGGTCTTTCTCCAGTTTCATACCTTTGCCTTGTGAATTACACACGGACATTGATGTGTGATGTGTTTTCCTGTGTTTTACTATTTTACTGAATTATTGAGCACCTCTTAGTCTGTGTTGGAATATTGTAAGCACTACTTGAATGACTTAAATTGGCTGAATTGTTGAACTTGATAAATGGTTTTGCTGCTAGAGTTCAAAGGTAAATCTGATTATTGTATTTTTGATATCTTTTTGAGAGAGGGCAAGAAGTATGATTTGGTAATATGTTGGGAATCTAAAATCAAGTGCTGGAGGAACTTGACAGCATTTGTGGAGAGAGATTTAATGTTTCAAGTTGAGTATGATTTATTTATGATTTGGCCTAGGTGGTCTGATTTCTTTCTTTTTAAACTTAATTTCTGTAGGGAACTCATTTGCCAATTTTGACTCTGTAAACACCATAGAAGTTATTCTCGAAGTAATTTGCAGGTGGTAGAACTTGGGAGACCTGAATTCTGTAACTATGTATCCTGTTCTTATCTGTAACCTAATCAGTCCCCTCTTATTTCCTAGCACCAGTCGGATTAAATTTAGCTGAGCAGCTTCTGAAGAGAGTGGGGACCGAATCTTCATGTAGCTTGTGTTTAAAATTTGTCCATTGGGTTTTTATAACAAAGCACACCCACATACACCTGTAACAAGGGCAAATTGTTTGGATACTTCCACCCTGTTGGTGAGAGCATGGAAGTACTGGGAACCAATTTGCAACAGATTACACCTTGGTGCAGTGGTAGTGTCACTACCTCTGAGCCAGATGATCAGGGTTAAAGTCCCAGCCACCCCCAGAGGTATGTCAAATCATATCCAAACAGGTTGATTAAAAATATTTACACACCTTGTCTAGTTCTTTTGGTTCACAAAGTGCTGGTAATCGCTGCGAATGTAGTTATAAAACAACTGCTCTGTATGCCAATTTCCCTTGTAACGGGCTCTTTACCTTGCATGGAAAGGGAAAGGAAATGGTACAGATCTGTATGAGTTTAGGCATCCACTGGTAAATTTTCTAGCCGGCTCTTTCCCTGAATACAAATTGCACTAAATTAATATGTACTATTTTAACACAGGATTCAACTTGTTAGAGCATTTTTCTTTTAAAGAGCATGTAGAAGATTCTGCCATTTTAATTGTTTGTAAGAGTGACAGGCAGATTAATACACTTCCTGGTTTTCAAGTTGGCTCAGTGGAGGTTGCGTATTACTCCATGTAGCCATTTGGTTTGTTGGATGTTTATGCAAAGTTTCCATTTTCTCCAGAACTACTACTGGTCTGCTGCAGCCACCTGTAGCATATCATGTGAAGCTTTGAGTAAAGTTTTTGGACTGGTTTTCAAATTTTAATCACTAAATTAGCAATTTAACACACATCTGATGTATATGTTTATCAAATGTGCGTTCAAATCTAACAACTTTTATGTTAATTTTTGAAGATTTTGTATTTTTTATTTATACATATTTAGTCCATTTCCTTTAAATCAAATCCAGATTGAAATGTCTTATGGACGTTAATTAGGCTTGTCAATTACTCTATGTATTGGTGTATGGGCAGTATGTTGAGGTCTTGATATATCAAGACTCTATGTAATGGACTTCTTGTAGCAGAGGAGCAAAGCCTCCTAGCAATGTTCAATCGGGGTTCAAAAAATATTAAACGAGCTATAATTGTCTTTTAGTTTCTTGGGCAGTTGGGGGAAGAGAGCTTTGGCAAATTGTTGTGGTGAAATTATCCAGCCCAGTTACAGCTCTTGGAAGTGTAGAATGACCAAGTTATGTCTTGCCACGACAGTGTAGCATTTGAACTCCCATTTCCTAATGTTTGACTCGGGAGGAACCATGAGGTAGAAATAATTTTGTCGCATATAATATTCTACTATTCAGTCACTTAAAAATTTAAAATGAGGTATTAATTAGCCACTTTTATTGCTCCAAGTATCATTCGAGAATGTTGGTGTAACTGGAGGTATTGGTTGGCACACTTAATTATTTTGCACACCTATAATGGACATTTTATTAATGAAATTAAATGGGTTTGTTCTGGGAGAAAAATTTCTCTGAATACTTACTTCCCACTGGGTATGTTTAAGATATTGCCTGCAGCAAATAGGCAGCCTGAGTTACTTTTGCCTTAATCCTTATGAGATATGATATGTCACTGAAGGAAAGATTTTTGGGTACAATGGAGGAGGAAGATGAGCAATGATAGCACAAAGAATGAGTCACTTCTGTTAATCACATTTTCTTGTATTTGAATCAAAGCTGAATTAAATTAGAATACAGAGACCAAATCAGAATGATCCACCATTTTTTAAATTACCAAAAGATGAAATGGTAATGTAATTAGTGTTTTTTAAAGTAACAATAAATTTTATCAATATAAATATAATTTTTGCAACAAATCCATCAACTTCTTGGCATTTGTGTGCTGCTAAGTGAAAGTATGGAGCTCAGCACCTTGTTTACTACAGCACCAATACATCAGCAGACAGCTTCCTCAAAAAAAAAACTCAAAACTATTAAACAAAAAACACTCTGAAACCAAGGATAACACAGTGTGGAGCTGGAGGAACACAGCAGGCCAGGAAGCATCAGAGAAGTTAGGCTGAAGAGGTTACCAGAGGGTTGCAGTAGGAGAGAGATCCACTGAGGTCTTTCCGGAGGGAAGAGGATAACTTCTTCAAGGTGGGCATCCCTAGAAGAGGCTTCGCAGTGGGGTTATAATTCACTCAGAGATAGTAAGAACTGCAGTTCTTACTATCTCTGAGTGAAGTAACACTCGGAAACCAAACTGTATGTACATGTTTTTAACGTGTTCAAATAATGCATGAATACTATCAATACAACAATTGATTTCTTTATTCATTCACGGGATGAGGGTATCACTGGCTAGGCAGCATTGATTGCCCATTCCTAATTCTTAAGGGTCAACCACATTGCTGTGGGTCTGGAGTCGCATGTAGGCCAGATCAGGTAAGGATGGCAGTTTCCTTCATCAGTGAACCAGATGAGTTTTTCCTGACAATCAACAATGGATTCCTGGTCACCATTAGCCTCTTAATCTAGCTTTTTTTAAATTGAATTCAAATTCCATCATCTGCTTTGGAAGATTTGAACTCAGGTCCACAGAACATTGTCTGTGTCTCGGTACAGTGATAATACCACTAGGCCATTGCTATCCCCTTAACCTCTGCACTGGTTGAAAGTGATTTTGATGCCTAATGTACATGCACTCTTTCTGAAGTAGACCATAACGATAGCAGTCGTGGAAAACACTGCCAGTTTTACACCATTAACGGCCTCATCTGTTATATTACTGCTTTTTGGTGCATGTTAAAAGTGAGTTGCCCTGGAATGAAGTTCCACATGTACTTTAGGTTCAGAGTTCCTTTGTGGCTGACCAGATTTACTTTTGCAACACACTCTTGGTAGTACAACTCAAATTTGCTGCCTGTACATGTTTCAAAAATGCCAGACAAAGGTACAGTTACACAATAGTTAGATAATTTATTGATTGTGTTAACTTCCAGCAGATTGTGGCTGAAAAACAAATTGATAACACTTTTTTTATTCATGAACCAAACATTGACATGTTTGACTAGAATATCCAGGAACAGTGGAGAAGCTGAAAAGAACAGAACACACAAACTCAACAACTTTAACCCAGGTTTAATGTTTGTTTTTTCAAGTGAGTGTGGTTTTCTATGCTCTACTACCAAGATTTGTTCTGTTTGTATTACAAATGTGTGAATGGTTGGTAGTAATTAACTTGACCAATGTCACACCTATCTCTCTCATGTAAACTCTGGCTTTAATTCCTTTAGTTGAAAGAGAACTCAATTCCATAAAATTAAGGTTTGAAATGATGACTTTGGGGTTAACATGCAGTGTAATTGAGTATTTTAAGTCAAATTAATGTTGTAAATGCTGTGTAAAAATTTAAAAATATTTGGGACAATACAATGATAAGTGTTTAGATACCTTTTAACATTGTCATTATGTCAAATCTTTAACAGAATTAATGTTACTAGCTCTCAAACTACAGAAATACCCAGTATATTCCTTCAAGGCCAGTTCAAGAGTGTAAATTTTAATATTTTAGTTTAATTTTAAATTCCAAACCTGTTACAGAACATTTACTCAAAGGATGATCAGCAGTAGAAATAAACAGAGTCAAAGGATGAGTTCAATTTTTACATCTGGTTCAAGGCTGGATGATTCCGACCATAAGAAAAGTCTGATGTTCCTACATGGTGTCAGTGCAGTTGGGAATGCTTGTTACAGAGTAAGTTTCAGAGATAGTAGGAACTGCAGATGCTGGAGAACACAGCAGGCCAAGCAGCATCAGATGAGTAGGAAGGCTGACGTTTCGGGCCTGGACCCTTCTTCAGACATGGGCTTTTGTTTTGAGCTGACATCCCGTGATTTTGAGTGTACTGGGTCCAAACACTGGATTTTTCTATCACAAATTCTATTTTATAAATATGGGAGTTATGGGATATGTAAAACAAAGTAGGTATGCAATTGCAATAATATTTGTGGCAACTGACTTGCCTCAATCAATTAAAATACAATCATTTATTTATCATGTTTGCAGCTCTCTGGAGCAGAAATGTATCATACCTCTTGGGTTTAATCATACAACGATCATTTTTAAAAATTAAATTCTAACTACTGATTCTCATTTTATGTATGAATAAACACTGACCTCTCAGTTCTAACTGAAGCTCAGAGGTTGTAAAGCCCAGGAAAGGTTTTAATTTAACACTAATTTTTTGCAGTCTAGTGGGAAGTATGCACAAGGTTCTGTAGCTGGTTGGCAACCTGTATATGTGCTGCGTTTGTATATAAAAAGCACAATGTGTAATTTTGAATGTCTTTAAGGGCTCAATGAAATCCAAAGGTGCTTTGTCATCCGCATGTCTCATGTACTTAAATTTTAATCTGTATAATACTACTTGTTACTTCTGGCTGAACAATGAGCAATAAATACAAATTAATGTACAAACTCTGCTTACCTTGATATTCTGTAATATTGCTGGAGTTACAAGGAACATTCTGGGTGGGGCTTTATAAAGTTATAAGTAATAACATGCAGAATAGGTAAACGTAGAGCACTACACCTGAGTTACCGTAAATCTAATTCTAAAGAAAGAACAAAATGCTGTCCTCACATAGCAGGCCAGCTCACATCTGTGGAGAAAGGAGGGTTAATGTTTGTTGTGCTAAAAAGTGATCAACCAGAAACATCAAGCCCCTCTCTCTTGATAGATGCTGCCTGACCTCTGTGCATTTTAAATTCATTTTCAAACGATTTCTGTGTGGTAATCAAATGGCCAAAACCCAGAGTATCTGAATCATCAAATGAGAGAGAGCAAATTTATTTTGTTGCCAAAAGATGAAATTGTGGATTATAATAATTGTAATGGAATGCCACGGAGGTGATCTTAATCTTTTCACAGAATATTCCTTTGGGGCCCTTACAGCAAGAATGTGTTCAAGATAATCAAAAGAAATAAATTCTAAACTTAGGGTGTAAAAGAAGTTAGTCAAAGTTGAACAGCAGTAGGAAAAACCTACACAACGGGAATTTGAAACACAGCTGGTTCAAGAATGGATGACTTCGACTGGGCGGGAATAGGTTTCTGAATTTCCTACATGTCAGTGCAACAGTAAGCACCTGTGTATAGGTTGATCGCCTATATTTACTACATCCACCCAACTCAAAGTAAACTTGGAAAGTGTGGGGCTCTGTTCATGAATAGTACTGTGTATCTCCTCTTGGAGCTGTAAAAGAAAAACTTGCAAAGCAAGCAAAATCAGGAGTAGGCCAATTAGATCATTGAAATAGCGATGTTTGCATTTTTAACTGGTACCCTTATTGTCCAAAGTGAGCATTTTTTTGTTCCCCTTCATGAACATCCTAAGGAAACCATTTCAAAACACCAAAGACATCGAATGCAGCACAATGTATAGTTTATTTTTTCCTACTTATACAATACAGAGATTTAACACAAATTTTAAAAAATAATTTCTTAAAACAACTGTACAAAAAGCATAACATTTTTTGCAGAACAGTCTACTGTCCAAAAAAGGCACTAATCCAGAACTCAAATGAAAATACATCTTCTGCTGCTTTGTATATAGTTATTTGAAAAAGTAGTCTAAGGCTTTAAGATTATTCTGTCCACCTTCCAGTTTGGAAATCAATAGGTTATTTCAGTGCAGAACTGCCCCATTTCCTGCATCATTCCTTCCACTCACCCAAAACAAACCTGGAATGTGAGTTTTTATTCATAACTAGCATTGTGCATCTCTTCCAACCTGGCTGTGAGAAGTTTGGGGGGGGTGGTGGGGAGAACAAAAACCAAATTCCAGAGCAAGGCTTTGAAAGGCAATCAGAATTGGAAGTATACTAGAATAAACTGAATAGGAGCAGCAGTGGGCTATTTGGCCCCTTGAGCCTGCTCTGGTAAGATCATGGATGACTGATACGATTGTGGCCTGACCTCCGCTTTGTTACCTACCCTGTGACTTTTGAATATGGAGGTGCAGCCTGATTTTTGATTGACAAATGAGTCAATGATCCAGCCTCCACTGTTATCAATGACAGAATGCCAAAGAACTTCATGCCCCTTAGAAAATTCTTCCTCCCCCTCTGTCTTACACGGGAGATGTCATAATTTGAAATTCTGTCACTTAGTTCTGGTCTCTCACCTGAGGGATGCATTCTGTCAGAATTTACCCATCAAATCCCCCACTCAGAATCTTGTACATTTCAATAAGATGATATCTAGATCTTCTAAACTCCAAAGGGTAGAGTAGTAGTGAATAGCCACGTGTTCCCTATTTGTCAAAGTCATACTTAAATTGCTCCCCTGCAAACTCATGAATTATTTTACACTTTAAAGAAAAAAGATGTGCATTCTGGAATAAATTTGTCATGAAAACTTGGCAGTTTATTTGAAACATGCATAATTTTATAAACTCAGTTTTTTCATATTCATTTGTGAGATGTGGGTGTCAGTTCCTAGTTGCCCTTGAGAAGTTGGTGGTGAGCTGCCTTCTTGAATTACTGCAGTCCTCCTGCTGTACATTGACCCACAATGCTATTAGGGAGGGAATGCCAGCAAAGGAACGGTGATATATTTCCAAATCAGGATGGTGAGTGGCTTGAAAGGGAACTTGCAGGTAGTGGTGTTCCCAATGTCTGCTGCCCTTGTCCTTCTAGATGGAAGTGGTCGTGGGTTTGGAAGGTATTGTCTGGGGATCTTTGGTGAATTTCTGTAGTGCATCTTGTAGATCGTACACACTGCACTGGAAAAGACAACAGCAGAAACAGCCCTGTTGACCCTGCAAAGTCCTCCTCACTAACATCTGGGGGTTAGTGCCAAAATTGGGAGAGCTGTCTCAGAGACTAGTCTGTAAGATATGATTCTGAGTATGACTGTTGCAGACACCATCGCCATCCCTGGATAAGTCCTGTCCCACCAGTAGGACAGACTCAGTAGAGGTGGCAGCACAGTGGTATACAGTTGGGAGGGTGTTGCTGTAGGAGTCCTCAACATTGACTCCGGACCCCATGAAGTCTCATGGCTTCAGTTAAACATGGGCAAGGAAACCTCCTGCTGATTACCACATACCGTCCTCCCTCAGCTGACAAATCAGTACTCCTCAATGTTGAACAACACTTAGAGGAAGCACCGAGGATGGCAAAGAGCACAAAATGTACTCTGGGTGGGGGATTTCAATGTCCACCACCAAGAGTGGCTCAGCAACAGTACTACTGTTCGAGCCGGTCGGGTCCTAAAGGACATAGCTGCTAGACTGGGTCTGTGACAGGTGGTGAGGGAACCAACAAGAGGGAAAAACATATCTGATCTTATTCTTAGTAATCTGCCAGCTGCAGTTACCAATACTGTCATGACAGATGTAAGATTGACCATCACACAGTCCTTGTGGAGATGAAGTCCCGCCTTCACATTAAGAATAACTTTCATTGTGTTGTGTGGTACTATCACCGTGCTAAATGGGACAGACTTTGCCCAGATCTCGCAACTTAAGACTGGGCAGCCAAGAGGTGCTGTGGGCCATCAACAGCAGCAAAATTGTACACTAGCACAATCTGTAACCTCAGTCTGGCATATCCTCCACTCAAACCATTACCATCAAGCCAGGGGATCAACCCTGGTTCAATGGAGAGTGCAGGAGGGCATACCAGGAGCAGCACCAGGCATACCTGAAGATGAGGTATCAACCTGGTGAAGCCACCAAACAGCGAAAGCAGCAAGTGATAGACATGGCTAACCGATCCCACAAACAATGGATCAGATCTAAGCTCTGCAGTCCTGCCACATCCAGTTGTGAATGGTGGTGGACAATTAAACAACTCACTGGAGGAGGTGGCTCCACAAATATCCCCATCCTCGATGATGGAAGAGCCCAGCACATCAGTGCAAAAGATAAGGCAGAAGTATTGAGCGTCTGCTCTACCTCGGCCTCCTCCAGTGGTCCCCAGCATTACGGATACCAGTCTTCAGCCAGTTCGATTCACTCCACGTGATATCAATAAACGGTTGGAGACACTTGGATACTGCAAAGGCTACCGGTCCTGACAACATTCCAGCAATAGTACTGACTAACTGTACTCCATACAACTGAACTTGCCACTCCCCTAGCCAAGCTGTTCCAATACAGTCACAACACTGGTATCTACCCAACAATGTGAAAAATTGCCCAAGTATGTCCTGTACACAAAAACTAGGACAAATCCAACCTGGCCAATTACTGTCCCATCAGTCTACTTTTGATCATCAGTAAAATGATGGAAGGTGTCATCAACAGTACTATCAAAGAGCACCTGCTCAGCGACACCCAGTTTGGGTTCTGCCAGAGCCACATTACAGTCTTGTTTCAAACATGGACAAAAGAGCTGAATTCCAGAGGAGAGGTGAGAGTGACATCCCTTGATGGCAAGGCTGCATTCGACAGTGTGGCATCGAGAAGCCCTGGCAAAACTGGAATTAATAGATTTCAGGGCAAACTCTCCAGTGGGTGTAGTAATACCTTACAGGTAGGAAGATGGTTGTGGTTGTTGGAGGTCAATCATCTCAGCTCCCAGACATCTCTGCAGAAATTCCTCAGGGTAGTGTCCTAGGCACAACCATCTTCAGCTGTTTACCTTCCCTCCATCATCAGGTCAGAAGTGGGGATGTTCGCTGATGATTGCACAATGTTCAGCACCATTCATGACTCCTCAGATTCTGAAGCAGTCCATGTTCAAATGCAACAAGATCTGGACAATATCCAGGCTTAGGATGACAAGTGGCAAGTAACATTCGTGCCACACAAATGCCAGGCTATGACCATCACCAATAAGAGACAATCTAACCACCGACCCTTGAAATTCAATGTTATCATCACTGAATTCTCCAATATCAACATCCTGGATGTTATCATTGACTAGAGACTCAACTGGACTCACCACATTAACACAGAGGCTACAAGAGCAGGCCAGAAGCTAGGAATACTGCAGTGAGTAACTCACCTCCTGACTCCTGAAAGCCTGTTGACCATCTACAAGGCACAAGTCAGGAGTGTGATGGAATACTCCCCATTTGCCTGGATGAGTGCAGCCCCAACAACATTCAAGAAGCTTGACACCATCCAGGACAAAGCAGCCCACTTGATTGGCACTACATCCACAAGCATTCATTTCCTCCACAGCCGATGCTCAGTGGTTGTCATTTCCAGAGTTCGCACCTGTACAGCTGAATAAGCAGCAGTGGGATGTAATCTGACATTTCCTCCATTGTTTTGGAGTGAAGAGAGACCCATTATAAACAATGACACTTCCAAAAAAAAAGTAGAATCACAATGGCAGTCTATGAGTATATAGTCTGCCTTAAGGACAGCTTGCTGACATCTCTCACTGTCCCCATTGCTTAAAAAGTTGAGAAATAGGTCCCAGCAGCAATGGAACAACAGTCTAGTCCGAGTGTGAATCTGCATTCAAATATAATCTCAGGCTTGGGTGGTTCTGACTATACTCACTGCTACGAACGGGAAGGTGGTGATGTGCAGGAGTTGTTGGGAAAGCTGCCTCTCCTAATTTAGTTGCCCTGAGTATGAGGAGCAGGTTTCCTTGTCTGTTGATTGATGGAAGCAATGGGGTGGGCAGGACAGTGTCGTTTTCTTTTTCAATGAATGACTTAAGATATGGTGAAACATATGATTTTGGAACAGAAGAGTGATCATAACTTATTTTTAAAAATAATTTCATCCGAGACCACAATGCTGAAGTAGGGCCAGAAACATACATGCCTATACAATTTGATTGGTCAGCATTTGCTGTTTTTCCCCATACCCCACCTAACTAAAACTACCAGAACAGCAGAGGATAAAATGCTTTCTCTCTCACTGAATATTTTTCGTATTTACTAATGGTTGAAGCAGAGACATAGACAGGGCTGCACAAACTAATCCTACAAAAGGCTGGCTGACACAATAAACATTAAGTTTCTGTGATTCCAAGTTATGATATCTAATCTTTTTCTGCATCGTTTCCCCAATCTCCGGCCAGTTTTGTTTTTCACAATAATCGGGAGAAATTGATTGGTTGATTTTATATCTGTTATTAAAGGGGAACCAAGTACTCGGAGTACTTTGCTGATATTCCCACACCAGTTTCTGAAATTGGATCTACCCCATTCTATTTCAGTTTCATGATCCAATGTTTCTCAGAACTATGGAGAAACCAAAAGGGTAGGAGTTGTTTGTCCAACAATCCTAACTGGAAATGAACAGTTGTTGTTTTAACACTCCAACTACGAATACAAATGCTTCTTATGTTGAAGTGGGTTGTGAAAGTGCTCTCCTCCAGAATCTCCTCCAGAATAACATCTACAATTAATACTGGCCAATTTCTGGAACAGTACTTTGTACTTATCTCTTAGAAAGGGAAGCTCTTTTGGGGATCTAATTCATGAAAATCTGTTTATTACTGTTCATAAAAATCCAGTGTGTCTTAAGTCAAGAACATGGCTCATTAAAATGGTGTCTTAGAGCACTAACACATTGTCCAGTGTCTCCTGTGCAAAATGATAAGTAACAGAAAACTAATTTTGCAAGAATCTTGCTGGGTGAACAACATTTGAGGCCTGTATTAGGGGAGGTGGTGGAATTGTATTACAAATACAAGAACAGCTGCTAAATTAGCAAATACAACATCTAACACAGGGAAGGATTATATCAACCTGAATCCTTCGTTTACGCTAAAGAATATTCCCTTTCTGCTTAGCAGAAAAATACATCACTTATTACAAGACAAATGAAACCATAAATGAGTAGTGTCTATTCCACATGTTATTTACAGGTTTGGCAGCATTAGCTCAAAGGGTGCATGGGAAATAAACACTTACTTTGATAGCTGAACTGATCAGCCAGGAAAACTGTAGTAAATATAAAACTAAGGTGAATCTATTACTTAAATCATTATTTCTATTATCCCTGGGAGTGATGCTCCAAACTAATATGCCCACTATGTTACATAATAACAATTGATAATGGTATATGATTATTGAAGCAGGGATTCATCATTTTGAGATTGCTAGGTTCATTTCCTCCCAGCGCTTTCTCATGCAAATTCTGGCATTCAAATGGCAGCTCACACTGCATGCATTAAATGCCATAATTTGTAGCATGCAGTTGTACTACTTGCCCTACTAGCCAGATCCTGGATTGGAATTCTGATGTTCCTTGATCCATCAACTAAATTTGAGGTCACAGAAAATACCAGCTCCTGTTAATATTTTTTATCACTCATTCTCCGTGGATGATTAATTACATTCAGCAGCTCTCACTGAATGGCCCAAGCCCTGGCATACAAATTACATCAAATCAAGGAAGCACAGTCTCTATTTGCCCGACCATTGTATAAAGCAGCTTATCTTTTCAATGGTCTTTGCAAGATGTGGGCATGGCCAAAATTTTCTGCCCATCCCCGGTCACTGTGACAAAGGATCTTGAGTCAAACATGTCATTATGGGATCATTGTTCCAAACTGTACTTAACCACATTGGACAGAAGTACACAGTCACTTTGACGAACTCTAGGCAGAAAGTGGGATGTGAAAACAGGTCTTGTGAGATAGTCTGTGTTGCCACCAACCTGAACACTTTTTTTTATAAAATATAACATGGCTGCTTGTAGAGAGGAGGCAGGAGCAGAAAACCTGGGGGTACATGCATGCACAGTATTGACGGTGGCAGAGTTTGTTGCTAAGCAATTAAAAAGACATAGCAGATCTTAGACTTTATAAATATAGGTATACAGTACAAAAACAAGTAAACTATGTTGAACCTTTATAAAACACCTTAAATCTCAACTGCAATATTTTGTCCAACTCTGGTACCATACCTTTGGAAGGAAATGAAGGCTTTGGGGAGAATTTGGAAAAGATTTGATAATGCTTTCAGGGATGACAGATCTTCAAGTTTGCTGAGAACAGCCTTCTACAAAGACAATGGTGTGAAGAGAGTTGACAGAGGTCTAGTGTCTTCAGAAAGGAGAGAAACTGGTACCATTGGTGACAGGATCAAAGACTGATATATGGTGAATGAGAAAAAGAACTAAAGATATGAGAAAAAAAATGTAGCAAGTGATTAGGATGTGGAATGCACTGCCTGAGTGTATGATGGAGTCACATTCAAGATTTCAAAAGGGAATAGGATAAGCAAAACTTAAAAAAAAAAGTCCATCAAGGAAAGGAAAGGGCAGGGAAACCAGTTGAGTTGTTCTTACAGAGAGCCAGCATGAATACAACAGACCGAATGACCATCTCCTGCATTGTAACTATTCTATACAAAAGGAGTATTGGTTGTCAGGGGAGACTAAGGAAGCCAGGACTGTAGATTGACGATTGTAACTGTGACAATCGCAACTGATTTTATGACCAACAAGTCAGCCAAAAAATGGATAGCAAAAGTTACCAAGGAATAGGACAGTGTGGAAATCTACACTGGGACTTCAGATGAGCTAGGATCAACTGGGTTTCTAACCCATACACTAGATTCTAAGGATGAAATCAGACAGGAGCAGGAATGTAAAATAACACAATTGCAAATGCAACTGGGCAGTGCATCCACTGTAATAACCCAAACATATCCACTTTTACCTCATGTTCCTTACTGGAGCATAATTTGAGTTTGACATCAAGCCAGAATGAAATAAAATCCATTGGAAATGCCAAACTTTTACTAGTGCACACGGATGGATAATTGTGCCTCATCTCCCAGGGTATATTTGTTCCCTTCTCAGTTCCTCTCTTGAAGATGAAGCTTGTTGGAAAAGGTTCCATTTGTCTTCAGTTCCTCACATTCACTCTTTCTCAATTGTGCAGCACAGACAACCTATACCTGAGGCTATTGAACTATAAGACAGTCAGTCTGACAAGGTCCTCAACTATAATCCTCCTACCAGCTTACATTGCAAAGTTATCCAGGATCAGACTCCTTTGTGCTAAACTTCCCGTGGAAGTAAACAAGGAGTTCTCATGTAGTGTTTGTCCCTTCCTTCCATCCCAACATTACTAGAAACTTGTTACATCGTTTTCCAGTTCTGCAGCAAGGTCATCAATCTGTAACTTTAACCCTGGTTCTCTCTGCACAGATACTCATCTGGTTGGGCTGTATCTCCAGTGTTTTCTGTTGTCATACAAGTGGAAGCTTCTGCATGTGGAATATCTTTGTTTCACATTCACATGGGCATTGCATAATGAAATACTATACACAAAGTAATAGCTTTAACTTGCCTCTGATTACTATTAAAACTGCACAGAAATAAAACATGACAGACACAATGTCCCTTCAGAATTTTTTTTGGCCCATGTAGGAACTGGAGTTAAATATGGACCCCTGTGTAATGCAAAAGAGCTCATTAATGGCACAGTGGCAACGGGGATATTCCCATCAGTCTACTGCAGAAGAGTTCAATTGAGAACATTCGAGCAAGTCAATCAGGTTTGTCAGTTGTTGTGGGTACATTCTCCGTGTGCAACATGTAGGACAATCTCCCGGGCTACATGTGCAATCAGACTCTTACAACAAATCCAATCAAATCAGATGTTCCACCAGGTTCATGCTTGAACTTCACTTGAGTCAGTCACGTTAGTACATTAAAGGCGCTACTGACACTCTTGTTACAGCAATGCCCAGTTCAATAAAGACTTCATATCCAAGCAACTGCCTGCACCTGTCCAAACCAACGGCTCCTAACAGATGTCCTAACTGTCTGTAATTTTTGGTGACCCCAATTAGCATGAAAAGGTTGCCACTGGAATGCTTTTGTATCTGCCATGAACCTCTGAACAACTTGGCGATATCCAGTTCTAGTATTCGTTAGCAACAATCCAACAGGAGAAACATCTTGTCTGTAATTCTGAACAAATCAGCATTTTTCATTTCCCAAACCATCACAGGTAGCGAAAATCAAGGTCAGATAATCAGCAAACCTCGGCGACTCAGCCCAGGAAAGTGCACTTTAAAGTGGGAAAGTTTGATGTTACAGGTCGAAACCATGGTAGGAAGAATCAGTCAAGGCCAGACATCCGAGGCAGGGTTCTGTTTGCAGGACTACTTTAAGCTTCAACTTAAACAAGAGTAGTGGGAAGAGCCCTTCAAACCTACAACAAAGGTTTGAGAAGCATTCTTTTGAGGTTACAGGCTGGTCAGTACATATCGCCCGGAATGCTGCACTCAGGAATACTTCATGCTTGTGCACTGCATCCTTAGGAATGTTTACAGATGGACGGTAAGTGCAGAGGTGCAGCTTTGACCAGGAAAATGGAGGACTTCTGGGTGAGAGGTACAACTTTTGTCCAAGTCACTTCCTGATAGTTTACTGCAATCTGGATGAAGAGAACCCTATTAACTAGTTTCAAAACAAAACACAAATATTGAGATTACATTAAAGATAGGGCAGTCCAATGATGTACCAAATCTCAGTCCTTCCCAACAATGCTTCAGTCATCTTCAATCACCTCTCTCTTTATTTCACTCCCCCCTTGTCTGGCTAATGCCAGGATGGTGTGATTGACTGCAGCCATTTCGACAGCTAAAGAGATAGGATCTTGCTGGGGATCGCTGTGGCTCGTGTTGTCATCCTGTGTTTGGAGGGAGAAAAAAAGACTTTGATTCATGAGGAGAATTATGAACCTGTCATGAATGTACCTCTGCCTCTCTCTCCCTACTTCCCTCCTCTCTCCTGGTGGCTTTGAGTGAATGTTCATTCTAGCCAAGAGCCTGCACTTGGAATGTCGGCATGTTCTGACTGCTCTTGTTGATCCACTGTCCCAATACAACAAGGTTAAAGGATGGTGATCAGGAAAAGGAATCCTCACAGATATCCCACTCTGTTCGAAAATGTTGAGATGATTTTAATAACTGAGCTGTTGTCGCAGCCAAGAGCGAACTCAACAACATAGTTGGGATCAAAACGAGAACCTTTCTAGATTGTCCAACTCACTCACTTGGGCAACTCAGCTCCTGGTCTATTACACATTGATTTTTTTCTTTTTTTGTTGGTGCAATGATCCATCATTTTTTCCTGAAGTGTGAAATTATACAAGAAGACTGTGGGAAGAATTCAGTGCAGTGTTCAGTTAGTGTAGATATTACTAATGTACAGCCACAGAGATCACCGATCCTTGGACAGCACCGAGGCAATAGAATTGACCCTAAATATCCTTGAACCACATCAGAGAAGCAAACAGCCGTTAGTCCTCTTTTGGATAACTTCAAGGTCAAAGGTTTGGCACATACGTAGCTTCCCTGACGATTATGACAGATCATCTTTGACTCTAGAGTAGTTTGCTAAACCACCTCACAGGCTCAGAGTTCATTTGCAAAGTGGATTAAAGTCATGCATGTGGAAGGTATGTTCTTTCAATGGGGCCAATGAAATGCTATCTTTATAGATAAAGTTTGGCCCATGCCATCTCCGGAATTGATTTTTGTTGAATAAGGTACTTGGCCTGAAAGGGCCAACTTGAAAGCTCTGGAATACCTCCCCGTACTGATACATCAAGGACTGATTCTGGGAAAAGGAACTCAGTTCAGTTGGTGTCAATACAGCATACAGCTGGAAAGTCGACATTTCAAGTCAGGACCCTTCTTCAGAACTGGGGAGGGGGAAAGGGAGCTGGGAAATAAAGAGAGAGGAGGGGTGAGACGGGTGAAGGTAGATGGGGGAAGGTAGATGGGGGATTGTGATAGGTGAATGCGGGTAGGGACTGGGGAGATTGGTCAATGGGAAGGGTACGGCAGATAGTTGTGGAAGATGGAGGACAGGTGGTGTCAGGTCAAGAAGGCAGGGATGAGAGGGAGGGTTGGACATGGGATGAGGGCTGGGGGTGGGGAGATTTTGAAACTGGTGAATTCTAGGTTCAGGTCATGGGGCTGTAGGCTCCCGAGGCGGAATGAGGTGTTGCTCCTCCAATTTGCATGTGGTGTCATTGTGACACTGGAGGAGGCCCAGGATGGACATGTCAACCAGGGAGTGGGAGGGGGAGTTAAAACGTTTGGCAACTGGACAGTGTTGTTGATGATGGCTTACAGAGCGCAGATGCTCCGCAAATCAATCACCAAGTCTGCACTTGGTCTCACCGATGTAGAGGACGCCACATCGGGAGCAATGGATAGAGCAGACCAAGTTGGAGGGTGTACAGGTGAACCTTGTCAGATATGGAAAGTTTGTCTTGGGCCTTGGACGGAATGAGAGGGGAAGAGGTGCAGGGGCAGGTGTAGCACCTCCTGCGTTTGCAGGGCAAGGTGCCGGGGGTGGTGAGGCTAGCGGAGAGTGTGGAGCAGACGAGGGAGTTGTGGAGTGAGCAGTCCATACGAAAGGCAGATGATGGTGGGATTGGATTGCCCGTGGCATAAGTGGTGGAGGATGATGTGCTGGATGCGGAGGTTGGTGGGGTGGTATGTGAGGGCCAGGGGGACTATGTCCTTATTTTTGTTGGGGTAGGGGGTTTGAGGGCAGAAGTGTGGGAAATACAAGATATGTGACCGAGGGCATTTTGGATCAATGGAGGTGTGTTGGGGGCGTGGGGACGGTGGTTGCGGTCCTTCTACTTCAATTCACCAGTTTCAAAATCTCCCCAACCCCGGCCTTATCCCATGTGCAACCCTCCCTCTCATCCCCGCCTCCTTGACCTGACACAACCTTGTCCATCTTCCACACCTATCCGCCCCACCTTCCCACTGACCAATCCCCACTATCCCAAACCTGCATCCACCTACCGCCAACCCCGCCTATCTTCCCCCAGCCCCACCCCTCCTCCCACTATTTATTTCCCATCTCCCTGCCCCCTCCCCAATCCTAATGAAGGGTCCGACCCAAAGCGTCGACTCTCCTGCTCCTCTGATGCTGCCTGACCAGCTGTGTTCCTCCAGCTCCACACTATTTTGACACAGACTCCAGCATCTGCAGTTCTTGCTATCTCTCAGTTCAGTTGGTTCTACTTTGTTGTTACTTCTGCCTTCTACAGTCACGTAGCCTTGACCTAGTTACTATCTCTTACCTAGCGTTAATGTAGTTAACCAGAAACTGTTATCTGACCATTACATAATAAAATACTTTTGCTACTCAAGAACATACCTCTTCCGAGGAAATGTAATAATGGTTAACCTTTCATTTAATACTAGTAAGCACAACAGACTGGCATGGCTGTCCTCACCTCTTCTTGTAAACCTACCCAAAGACCCTACAAGAAGCAGGTGCCAACTGTAGGCATCTCACAACTGTTTCAATAGTCTAAAGCAGTCACAGGCAAATAGTTTAGAGAACTATTTACTGCCTCCAGTTTCATCTGATTTTTTTTTGACTATTGCAAGAGATGACTTGGTGGTGGGAGATGTCTGGTTGTGATGTTCTAACCATGAGTTGGGGGCACGTTTGAGGAGCCTGCGTTTTCCCTTCTCAGGAAGGCAGGACATGAATAAATTGGAGGTTTTGCAACTGGCTGCAACTTTCACAATTAAGTGCGCATTTGCAATTTGCCAGATTTGATGATCAACTCATGATTTCTAAAACTCTGGCTCGGTTTCAGCAGGAGAGATATTTCCCAATTCTGGGCACCACACTTTAAGGAAGATGTGAAAGCCATGGAGGGGGTTCAAAAGAGGTTTTACCAGAATGGTATGCTAATGTCACATCAATGATAGTCCAGGGTAAGCAGGTGAAAGGTGTGGGCGTTAACTGATTTTTTTTAAAATGTGCGTTCAGAGACAGGAGACTGCAGAAGGTTTTATGGTAGTGTCTCTACCTCTAGCTCCACCTCAGGGTGTAATGGCCACAGAGATGTGTAATTACATGCTATTTAAGACAAGATATTATTTCATTGAGGGCAGTTCAAAGAAGCTCACAAGAATGATTCCCAGTATGGAGGGACTGTCTTACAAGCAAAGGATAAACAGGTTGGGACACTACTCACTGGAGTTTAGAAGAATGAGAGGTGATCTTATTGAAACATATAGGATTCTTAAGGGGCTTGACAGGGTAAATGCTGAGAGGATGTTCCCTTTCATGGGAAGGGAGTAGGACTAGTCGGCATAGTTTTAGAATAAAGGGGTGCCAATTTAAGACTGAGATAAGGAGGAATTTCTTCCCTTAGAGGTTTAAGTGTCTTTGGAACACCTGGCCACAGAGAGCTGTCAGGGCAGAGTCCTTGTATATATTTAAGGCTAAACTAGATTCCTGATCAGTTGGGGAAGATCAAGGATTATGGGGAAATGCAGGACCTGAACAGGTTGATTGAAAAAAAATAAAATCTGAAAAGGGGACAGCAGAGACTCGAGGTAAGAGATCAGCAAGACTACACACGTATGTAATATTATTTTAAAGAAAAGCTCCATCTGAATTCTCAATTCAGTTTCAGAGTGATTTCCACTTATCAGGTACTAGGGACTTGAGCGATGTCGACACATTTGGAGGAATTTTCTTTAGAATACAGAAAGAAAAGAGAACATTTGATAGTGGGAATAATTACAAACTGTTTCCACTGGTAAGGGTCAGTAAACAGTGGATAAAGACTTTTAAAAGATGATTTGTTAAAGAACCAGAAGGGATGTGCAGAAGAAATTGTCCTGCCCGTCAATTTTTAAACATTTTTTTTAAAAAAAAGAGCGGGGTGCCCCGAATTGGATACAAAACGCCAGCTGAAAGGAACCAATGTTTTGGTTTTGTGATCTAGAATGTGCTGATTGAAAGGGGATGAAAACAGGTTTGATTGTAATGCTCAAAAGAAAACTGGATATGGGAAGATGTTCCTCATACAGATTTCGTGCAAAGAAATGGTGTTTGCAGTTGACTGACAGGGCTTTTAAATAAAGAGAGGAAATATTTCTGAAGTTTCCACATGGGTTGACAATCCAACATAAAATAAAGAACATTCTCTACCTGCTCCAGGAAATCACTCCCATCGATATCGTCACTATTGGAATGTCCACCTGGGCTTTGCACATCGATGCCATGAGTTTCTAGGATTGCTGCTTCTTTGAAAAAGCAAAATTCTCCATAAGAAAATAATCTTGCCACACCAAAAATAAACACTACGCTGAGGGGAGTAATGGGATCAAAAGTTACAGGGAGAAGGCAGAAAAATGGGGCAGAGAAACATGTCTGCCATGATTGAACAGCAGAGCGGACTTGATGGACCAAATGGCCTACTTCTGCTCCTATATCTTATCATCTTATGGAGTGTCCCAGAAAGCCCCAGTGTCTGCTACAGAAAAAGATGACATGTTGGGTGTAGGACGCTGGTTGGCAGAATAAATATAAGCCCAAGTGCAAGCAACTACAAATGGTTAACAGAGGAACAAAAACAAATGCACCTTACACCTGCAGGCTGCTTTTAAAATGAGAGGTACTGTCTCAGGTGTTTGGGTAAACTGTGACCATGAACAGCTGGGATTGGAATTGACAGGAACATGCAAAGCACTGTGTTTTCAGGCATGTGACGCAAGCTATTGTCCCAACATTGCCTGGATTAGAAAAACACATTTTAGCAAATCATCTAAATGCAATAAGAGAATGTGTCTTTAAACACAGTGTTAACAGACTGAAAATTGGCTTAAATGCAGGTAAAACTGTCAGTTCCCACCAAAAGTGGGAGGACAGAGCTTTGATAATAAAACTCTCTCCATTTCTGGGACAGCTGCAGCAGAATAGTACTGACAGTGCTAGGAAGTTGCAGCACTATTACTGCCAGACGTCGCCTCTGTTACAATGTCCTGAAAGTGAACTACACTGGTTCAAGGAGGAAACTCACCACCATCTTCTCAAGGGCAACTAGGGTTGGCAATAAATGCTGAATGCCCACATTCAGCAAATGAATATTTTAGAAAAGAGTCACTGCTGTTGAGATGGTGTAAGCTTTAGTGAGGCACACAATGTCAAAAAATTCTAAATCCATGTTTCAATTTCTTGATGGAGCAGCATAAGGAGCGTAACTATTGACCTTAACTCCCCGAGGCTAGAAGGAAGGTGGTGTGCATCAGTGAGGCTTTTTGTTCTTGATCACAATGTTCATACTCTCACTGTATAGCATGCACGACTGAACACTGGATGGGGACTACAAAAGCCCAGTCTAAGCTCACATGTCATTTGGACAAGACACTGGAACACTGCTATTATCTGTAGGTGCATGTACCTCAGCGAAAGGTGTCAGGCATAAGGAATAGATAAGATAATCAAAGAAAATGTCAAAAAGAAATAGAAGAAAACTTAATTAATGCTATTATCCACAAGACAAACAAAAAGGACAAGAGAAGGTGCTGGTAAGATTTAAGGTTGGTGCCAGAAGTAGGAAATCACAGCTATCGGGAAAGATTGAAAAGATTAGCATTTTTCCCTTCAGAAAATGGAGGACCTCTCAGAGACTTTTAAACTTTGAATATGTTGGAGGGGACAGATGTGAAACAAATGTTTGCGCTTGAGAGAGAATACAAAACCAGGGTCCATAAATACAAGATATAGTTGCTAATAAATCCAAGTAGGTAGAACATGGAACTTGTCAACTCAGGAAATGCTGAGGCAAATACCTTCAAGTATTTCAAAAGGAAATTAGATGAGTACATGGAAGAGAATAGAAAAAAAATGGTGAAAGGCTGAAACGAGAACAATGGAATGGGAGCAGGCTGATGCTGAGGATGAAAAGTGGGTCAAAATAGTCAGTTTCTGCCCTGTATGTAATTCTACTGTAACACTGAGCTAAAAGAACAATGACATTATAACCTCCTTGCAGGTTTGACTGCAGATCAGGCATTTTCTTTCCAGCACACTGTTTTACTAAATCCTCTCCACATTGTCTTCAACAACATTACCAATATTTGCCCTCCTCTTGATCTCCTTCCTGCGATTGGCAAACCAGTTGTAGACTTTGAGGGGGGTCACTCGCTCGGACTCAGTCAGCTTCCTACCTACAACAATAGCAAAATGCGTTACTTGAGTCTCCAAAAACAAAAAAGCAGCTGCTTTCTAACTGAGGAGAAAAGGACAGGGAAACATCCTAAATTCTGCACGAGAACTGAAAGGTCCTACTACAAAATGATTACTACAAAAGCAATAACCCATGCTTGAATAGCACTTTTCAGTGACAAAGCATCCTAGGTGCTTCATAGGAGTGGTACAATTCAAACTCGGACACCAAGGACATAGGAAGAAAATGAGAACATATGGTCTAAAACTTGATCAAAGAAGTAGATTTTCTTCAACCAGTGCCTGAGAAAGGAGCAGAGAGAGGCAGAGATGTTTACAGGTAGCCTCTCGAGCGGAGGTCCTAGGCAGCTGAGATAGAAAATATCCCAGAGTCTCCAAAAACAGCTACCAGGTTTCAGTTCAAAATCAGCAATCTGCCTTTGTCCTATGTACTGAAAGTCCTGTATATTTTCCAGCGTTTTCTGTTTTTGTTCCTTTTTGTTATAACATGTTACTGAACCTCAATGTGCATTACAGCTAATTAAGGACTTGTGAAATGTAGGAAACACGGCTCCACAAACAGAAATGTCTTCATCCCATTCTCTCAGTCCCTCCATCTCCGTCGCATATGTTCAGATGAGGCCAACTTCGACAAGGGAGCCTCCACAAGGGAAACGTCCACATTCTTCCTCAACCGAGGATTCCCCAGCTCCGTTGTCGACAGGGCCCTCAACCGGGTCCGACCCATCTCCCGCACTTCTGCCCTCACCCCTTCTCTTCCCTCCCGCAACAGCGATAAGGTTCCGCTTATGCTCACCTACCATCCCACCAGCATCCACATCCAGAAGATCATCAGACGCCATTTCCACCACCTCCAGCAAGATGCCACCACCAGACACATATTCCCCTCCCCTCCCTTGTCCGCCTTCCGCAGGGACCATTCCCTCTGGGACACCCTGGTCCACACTTCCTTCAACCCCAACACCTCCCCACAGCCCTACGGCACCTTCCCTTGTAACCGGCGAAGGTGCAACACCTGTGCATTTACCTCCTCCCTCCCCAGAATCCAAGGGCCCAAACGTACCTTCCAGGTGAAGCAACACTTCACCTGCACTAGTCTACTGCATTTGCTGCTCACAATGTGGTCTCCTCTACATTGGGGAAACGAAGCGTAGACTTGGCAACCGCTACGCAGAACATCTACGTTCTGCTCGCAAAAAAGACCCTGAACTACCTGTTGCCTGCCACTTCAATGCACCATCCTGCTCCCTGGCCAACATCTGTGTCTCTGGCTTGCTACAGTGGTTCAGTGAAGCCCAACGCAAGCTGGAGGAACAACACCTGATTTTCCGCTTGGGGACCCTACAGCCCTCCAGACTCAATATTGAGTTCACTAATTTTAGGGCCTAAACTCTCCCATGTCCCAGCCTCCCACCCCACACACCAGGCATAGCCTGCCACTACACACCCCCTGTTGTTAGTCACTAACAGTCCCCATTAACAACTACTCACCCTCCCAGCCTGATCGTTAGCAACTCCTTTGTCT